GCGAGGTATACTCTTTGTCCATGTATGGAATGTGTAAGATATAAGGACAGAAAAGGAGAGGAGCACATCTGAGTGGGAGAGAATGTAGTAGGAAAGTGATAATAACTAGAGAAAGATATTATAACTCAATCCCACAATGAGAAAGTTGGATAAACAAGGATGTGGTGCTACATGTAGAGTGGTTAGGATGCAGCAGCCCGTACTCGGTAAGTCAATTACACCCAAAACCTCCTCACAGGGTACCAACATCTGTGTGAGGGTTTGATGTGCATCATACTATCTTCACCTCAAACCCAAGAACTGGGGAATCGAGAACCACTCCAATTCCCAAGTATAACACAAGGATTAGCTCTGGCCTATTGATCCAAGAACTTGACATTTTGTATCAAAAGAATGTCTATTGCATGCAATCAATTCCCTCAACCGTGAAACAGGCCAGTATCCTCCAAATGCCAATAACATCCCTGTAAGAAGAGAGAATGAGGGATGGCCAGGGATAGAACCATAACAATCCCACGTATCACCACTGTGGCCCAAAATACGGAAGAAATTGAAGGAGGAAGATGGACAACCGGAAACCTGTGTGAGAACTTATGTTGACAGGTTCACTCTAAATCCAACACCAGGCCACAAGCTACTGACATCCATATGACAGTAGGATGAGAGTTCCCAATTTTCGATGACTCAACTCCAATCATATAAATGCTATGAGGAGGCCACATCATCCAGTAAGGTGACGGCTCAACTCCTCTGGAAGCCATGTCTCATCTACATCAGCAGAACACCACCTACTCTTGACTGAATAGTTATAGCCATGTTTTTGTGGAACCCATTCAGGAGGGTGCCTTCATAATTAACCACCCCAGCAGCTTGGAACTGGAAGGATTCCCATACTCCACTAGAAGAAAGGAGAGTAAATACGTGATGAAGAGTACAAAGGAACGTCATCACTGGAAACAGTGCAATGGGTGACCATGAAACCCTATTTTGAAAAGCAGACCATACTGATTTAACCAATCAAGTCATGGCAGGAAGGGGCAGCTATCTCACTCTGCTTTACCCATGCAGTCCATGGGTGGTATGGTCCAGAAAGGACATGTTTATGAAGCAAAAACGTCACAAAGTTATTCACCTTCAAACGATCTTGTGGAACACCCCATCTCACTGGTGAACACTGGGAAGCCAAGGTAGAGATTGCAATTCAACATGGCTGTAGAGTGTTGATTTTAATGGAAGGATACCTGGTCAGGCACAGCTCGCCACAAAGCAGTATCCAAATAGTGACTAATGAAGCAAGGGCCCCTGAAAGGAAAGAAATAATGAATAGAAACTTACCCAGTTAGAGTCACACCAAAGTATGAAAAATGGTCAAAGGTGGTAGATGAAAACCCGACGAGGAAGAAACTGCAATATGGTGTAGATAAGGGGAGACAAACGTATTAGGTGTAATGCTCATGCCCTATGGCTGATAAGGATGTCAAATTTTAGATTCCTAACAAAGGAGAGTAAGCCAATGGGATCAAAAGCTGAACACAATTGGTGAGGGCACCATGGAAGGAAGCCATACAGGCAATAGAACAATGAAGAGCACAGACTGTACATAGGAGTCAACCTGGATCGGGATGAGGGTAAAGGTGGGAAATGAAAGGAAGGGAATTAGGCAAAAGGAGGATGTCTTGGATAGAAGGGGTGGGAAAAATGTACGAGAAACATCATGGGAAACCAATCTGATCTCTGAAGTAAACAGGCATAGAGGAGAAGGAATTATGTATGAGGTAAAACATGGAACACAGGGAAAGTGATGCAAATGATGGTAAAGTGAGGGAATAAAAGATCAAATTAATATCCCAGGTCGGAATGGTAGGCAGTCAGGGAGGACAACTAATCCAGAAGAAACAAATAAACATAGTAAGGACAGGTGAGGTAAAATATTCCATATTATTGGGAAAAAAACAAAGGTATGGGACAAGGCTGCCTGATAACTGAAAATCGAGATGATTAAAAACTGATTGTTGAAAAACCAGGGGAGAAACTCTGCCATCCATGACACAAGGGTTTAGGCCAATAAACACCCACTGAAAAGTTAACAAGTTAAAAGAAAGCTAGCTGCAGGTATAAACATGATCCCCGCCAAAGACTGAATAATAGCCATGCATGAAGATGAACAATGTGAATGTGCAGATGAAGAAGTACTGGCAAACATAGTGGATGGTGAAGGGCAGGAGAAAAAGGAAGTGAAGATAAAAGTTGGAGCTGGAGAAGTCACAGAAACTATGGCTGAGCTGGCCATTAAGGAGTAATCAGAAGGATCTAACACAGACAGGTAGGGCTGAGGGAGATAACCCATGGAAGTAAGAGGATAGGGGAATGAGCATACAAGAACTTGTGGGACCAATCCCGGCCAAAGGCATCTACAGCCCTAGTTAGAGGAGGAGGTACTGGATATCAAATAGAGGTAATAGAAGGTTAAGAGATGTAGTATGGGATCTATGTGGTGGGAATCCCATGGAAGACAAAGCCACCAGAAAACAATAGAATCAAAAGACCATTCCGATGGATAGAATGTGTCGGGATGAGAAAAACAAGCTGAGAATCGAGCGAGAGTACCAGCAACATGACATGCAAAAATATGAATCTTGTACAAGGGGGCCCAAACGAGCAGATCTAATATTTGAAAAGAGAGGAACTGCAAACAGGTGCCACCCACAGGTCAACACCCCCAAAAAGGGACAAGAGAAGAAAAGGAACAGACTGTAAAACCCTATTAATAATGGAAAGGAAAACAAACAGCAGTGCCACACCATACTAACCCAAAAGCAAAGAAGCCACGCAAAGAGCGAATGAACTGAAGATGACAAAAAACCCATATACAGAACACCGAATAAAGGGAAACATGAAACATCAACGGTGTGGGTGACGAAAGGGGTGAGAACCGAAGAAAGAGGCCAATCTTTTTAACATTCAATCTCCTGGAGAATAAACACTGATAAAAACCATGCAGAGTTGCCCGCATCTGCGGCTTGTGAGGTAGTGCTAGTCGTAGGTGTGACCACTGAAATGATAATATTATCGTTGGAATGTGACTGGAATAAACTGGGATAAATGAAGGCAAATTTCAAACTCCAGAAAATCTGGAAGTTATAATAAATGAATACCACTTTATGAGTATACTAAGTAGGAACGTGAAAGAATGACAAAAAAAAACGTCCGAGTACAAGCACTGCCAAAGAAAAAGTGATAGTTCAGTAGAGGTGCACAGAGGGAGTCACATGCATCACATGAGTGTACTATGTTCCTATTCGTGGAGAAGTGAAGCATGATGATTTACATGAGAGACATGTTGGAATCACTTAATTCCAATAGGGGGGAGCATGCACTTGTGGCATGCATAAATAAAACGTTTGAATATAGGGGCAGCAATGAACGAGAATAGCTAATCTTGTGAAGGAGGGAAATACCGTATCAAAAACGTAGGAAACTTAAAAATATTACAATGATAAATCAGCTTTTACTTTTTAAAGGGTTAGCTATAACTGAAATGAACAACTACAAATTAATATAAATCAAAGAAAGAATAACAATGTCTTTTTAAAAATGGACCAATTACTTCATATCCTTACATTACAAAGTGTTTTAACATATCTCTCATAATATGTCCCAATAAGAACATTTATAGCATGTATATACCTTCAAGAAAATAGGCACTTAACACAATGAATGAAAACAATTACGTTAAGAAAGTACCAAATCAGTTTTACATCAAATGTTATTATAGTTTTTACACTTTGCAACACATACATATGTAACTGCAATATTAAACACTTTCCTTCAATATATATCAGTTGTTATATGTATATAAAGATCGGATGTTATAGCAAAGCTTGAAGTTAGTAGCATTTGTTTCTCCTCTTTACCATTTTACTGTTTTCACTTTGTTTTCTAATAACGTTAAAATGATTTTGGCACTTTTATTTTAAACTGCTGATATACATTATGCTTTACAATCACATTTGCTTTCTTTACAAACATGTGTGTGTGCCTGCACACTTTCTAACTATATTTCTACTTACAGTTAAAAAGTTTGTTTGTTTATTTGTTTCAGAGCTAATCCACATTTGGCTATCTACTGTGTCCACTGCAGGAAATCGAACCCTAGATTATATCATTGCGAGTTTATAAACATACCACTGTCCCACTGGGGGACACACCTAAAGAGAGGTAAACAACAAAATCTGATTAAGTTGCATGTCTGAAATTACCCACTCCTGTGGCATTGTGTGTTAATATATTTAACCTAAGTTCTAAGGATTATCTTCATCAGAAAACAACAAAATCTGGTTAAGTTGCATGTCTGAAATTACCCACTCCTGTGGCACCGTGTGTTAATATATTCAACCTAAGTTCTAAGGATTATCTTCAGACCTGAAAACAACAAAATCTGGTTAAGTTGCACGTCTGAAATTACCCACTCCTGTGGCATTGTGTGTTAATATATTTAACCTAAGTTCTAAGGATTATCTTCATCAGAAAACAAAATCTGGTTAAGTTGCATGTCTGAAATTACCCACTCCTGTGGCACCGTGTGTTAATATATTTAACCTAAGTTCTAAGGATTATCTTCATCAGAAAACAACAAAATCTGGTTAAGTTGCACGTCTGAAATTACCCACTCCTGTGGCATTGTGTGTTAATATATTTAACCTAAGTTCTAAGGATTATCTTCAGACCTGAAAACAACAAAATCTGGTTAAGTTGCACGTCTGAAATTACCCACTCCTGTGGCATTGTGTGTTAATATATTTAACCTAATCTGAAATTACACACTCCTGTGGCATCATGCGTTAATATATTTAACCTAAGTTCTAAGGATTATCTTCATCAGAAAACAACAAAATCTGGTTAAGTTGCACGTCTGAAATTACCCACTCCTGTGGCACCGTGTGTTAATATCTTCAGACCTGAAAACATTACAAACTCACAATATAAGTTAAATATCTTACTCTGTGTGGATGGTCAACAGAGACCTGAAATTTCAGCACCCTCAATAGAAGAAGTTCGCACTGCACAATACTATCACGCAGCAACCAATATTCTTCAGCAAGATCTAAAGGCTCCAACTTGGGATGGATTGCTCTAAAAGTATACCAGAATTACAATGAAAAGTTCCATAATCCATTTTATACTCCTGATTAAGATAAACAGCACAGTTATAAAACATTTTAATTCTGTAAAGAAAAGAAAATTTCATCTGGGAGAGATTTGAATAATTTTGTATTGTTCTATTTACAAAAATACAACTGTTAATATTTCGGAAATGAAAAAAATAGTAAATTTCTATGGAAATTCAAGTAAATACCTGGTCATTTTTTAAATAACAAATTCAGTAGAATTACTCTGCATTCATCTTATGTAAGAAACATTTTCTCACAGATGAATAAATAAATTTAACATATCACAATTAAAAAATTTAGATACTACAATTTTTAGCTGCAACACTTCAAAGTTTCATATCAAGATATATATCACTTTGTACTTCCTCCTATCTGATAACACCCTTCCCTTCTCTAAAAATTCTGAATTCTATGTCTATCTAATGTGACACAAGTTAGTATTTTCCTATAACGAAAACACATTTCAGATAGGTACTTATCTCCCTCACATTCAGTGTGCCCTCTATATGCCACAATGTAGTTCAACTGTGTCTCGCATGTAAATCATCATGCAACAACCCTCTACCAATAGTAGTGCGACACACCCTACTAAAATGTGTGGCTCCCTCTATTGGATTGTACCAAACTATCACTTCAAGATTAGGTAGAAAAGAAAGCACCAATTTTCAGTGGGGAGGAAGTGAGAGAAAGTAAGTCCATAACAGAAATATATTTTTAGTGTATGAAAATAATAACTTCTGATACAGTACTTTACCTCACATGTATACCTAGAATCCCACATTGAATAAGAAGAGGAACCAGTGTGAGGGACAGAAAAAAGTGTAAGAAAAATACTCTTGAAGTGTGATCACCATTGGGAGAGAAACACACGTGGGAGACTGCAACACTTCTGAACCAGGTATACTCTGTGCCCAGGGTGGAAAGAGGTGTTGCATACACTGGCAGAAAGTGGAAGGAGCACAACTAAAAATGCAGAGAAAATCAAATAGGTTGGAATCCAAACCACAGTATACCAAAATCTCAATCCCGTAGAAGAAAGACTGTAGAAGAACTACCTACAGACAGGAAAGTGGAGAAAGTTAAAATAGATGTGCTCCAAGGTGTAGAGTGGTTATGGCATGACAGACCGTACACAGATGGTCAACTTCAGTCAAAAACCAAGCAATATTGTGAAAAACCCTCCAACCCATGGTAGGAAGACAGTCCGCACCTTTTTTCACCTCAAGGTAAGTATAAAGTAAGTATATACTGTATATCCAAGATACAAGAATCAACCATCACCCTTTTCCAATGGCTTAGTTTGGTTTGTTTTGAATTTCTCACAAAGCTACATGAGGGCTATCTGTGCTATTTAAATGGCATATACCTCACTAGTTTTTCTCCTTGCAAATGTGTGACTTGAGGTGCCAAAATTGCTCAGAAAACAATCTAAAAAGTAAAGGGAAAAATGGATTGCATTGTAACATGGCTTTACTACCTGACAAATGGCATCTGTTTGAGATATCACACAAAACAAACAAGAAAAGGCTGTCATTTATACATATCAACTTGCAGAAAAACACTCACTCACGAATTTTTATCCTCCACCACACCTTACTCATGCCATTTATCAAGGTTCTATACAACAAACCCTGAAAAGATATGCTAATCTTCTTTTACTCATTTCCAACAGATATTTTACAAACAGGATTCAGCCTTTTCACTTCCTCATCATCCAAGATGAGATTCAATAGCCACATATTCATTTTGAAAAACTGTCTACATTATTAGGTGTCATTACTGTGTATGGACCAGATTCTTTATAATAGATGTCTGTGACTTGTTGGCGATAAATTTCAACAGTAAGCAAACAGCACACAATCCACTTGTTTTAAAAGAATATATTAAAACAAGTCAAACGTATATTGAAATGTTTGTTACACTGTTGATTACCACAATTGTATCCAGAGCTTTAAATAATTATCTCTTTTTTCATTCACAGGCTGGTTCAGTTACTTTAGAATACAACTTGACAAGACAAATTATTGTTCTCTACTCTGATATTACAATATAGCCTGTGATAATTTCACTTTAAAAGTCATCACTATATACTCTTTATGGCTAAACTTACAATCACACAGTCTAGATCTAATTACATTGAACTACATTTTTCAATGTATACTTACACTTCAACAGAAGTCTACAATAATGGCTGGAGACGGCTTAAATGGGTAATGAAGAAAAACTTTAATACAAGTTTAACATGA